CTAAACTGGAACTGAGGTCATAGTTTTGTATTACTGAAAGTATTGTTGAAAGAGGAGACCGCTGTGACTGGTAAGAAGTGGATGGTATTATTGGTGAGAACTGAGTGGTTTGTATTTGTAGCACATCAGGGCGCACATGTTGCAATATATGATATGATCGGTTTGCTGTAATAACTGACGTTGTTAATACTGGCTTTGGAATGTTTAAATTTGTAGCACTGGACAGTTGTCTAGGAAGCATCTTCTGTCGTTGTTTAATTGTTTGTAATGTTTTCAATACTCCCATCTGAAATTCCAATATCTCAAATTCATTAAAACTTTGTAACGAAGGAATTATACCAGCAAAAAAGGACATGTGACGATCAGGTTTCTCCTTAAGAGCTTCAATTATTTGTAATTCAACAGTGTCTGCTTTACGTTTTCTTCCTGTTGGCGTTTTGGACAATTTGTAAGCATGTGGAGTAGTTACATTGGCAGCGGTATTTTCTTTACAAATGTTGCTGTCGGTGAAACTAGTGTCAGATGTTGCTACTTCTGATAGTCCAGTGTTAGTTAATAACATAAGAAATATTGTAAGTGATTATTTTCTGACGCCTATTGGATCTGTAAAATGATCAAAATTTCTTGTTGGTATACAAGTAATATATGCATACACATATTTATATGTTTTTACTTTCGTATTTAATTAAGCAATAATACAGAAATATCCATACAAACTTACCGAACTTAGTCTTGTCATCAGATTCCAATTCATCAAAGTTATTCTTCAGTTCCCTACAAATTTCTTGCTAAGCACTTCTGGTTTTATTTCTGTCTTTGTTTGTTTCGCTTGTCTTATCTCATATTACAGGTCTTCCATGCACCAAACTTATTAAATGCTCTGTATCAATTTCCACTTTCCACATCAGCCATTTTTCATAGGTTAATCACAACAAAAATTCCTTCTACTTTCTAAAAAGTCTAAGAACCTTCTACTTTCAAGGAAGTCATGTACTCTATTACAAGGTTTTTTTGCAAATAATACATAGATATGAACGCCCACTTTGAATTTGATATCCCACTACGTGCTCGATCGCCGTGTACACGTCAACGTTTGTCCGGGCCTATAGTGGGTATGTCCGGCAACATCACGGTTCCTAGTTACCACGAGCACGGTATGTGTGGAAGCATCGATTAATATGTACACTCTTTACCCGTGTGCACGGTGCCGTGTAACCGGCCACCGGGTATGTGTTAAGCCGCGCTTAGAACCGCTACAATATGTATATATTGTAGCGGTTCAATATTGTAGCGCTACAATATATATATATATATATATATATATATATATATATATATATATATATATTATATATATATATATATATATATATATATATATATAATATATATATAATATATTGTAACAGGTAGCTCTTTCGGTACGACAGACTCAGTAAAACACAGGTTGAAATAAAAATAAATCTATTGATTTAACGTATGTACAATAAAAAAATAAAATTAATTCTCCGCCGTATATACAATAAAAATAAAACGAATCCTTCGTCCCCGTCTGGATCCCGCGATGAAGGAATCCCGGGCGAACGTCTATAAAAGAAAGAAAAAGTTATTATTAATAACAAAACATAGGTGAAGTCAATCGCACGCAGACTTATACTCGCTTCCGCTTCAATTCAGCGAGAGCTCCGAACACACTCGCAAACTAAATATTCGGCTGTCCAGGCCCCACGGTAAAGTTCAATACACAATACCGATGGGTTCTGCTTGGTTAAGGACAGAGTATGATCCTCAATACGGAAATATCTCTGTCCGGGTTGGCTCGCCGGTTCAGTAAACTGGCGAATCGAGGAGCCTAGAGTGCTAGCTGCAAGACTGACTAGTTCTTTTTAGTGACTAAGTTCACATGCCTTAAATAGTCGCTCCGAATCCCACTCACACTGCTATCTCGCTGAGGAAGTGGATGCGCAAACATGAGAACATCGTTACACCCCCTTCTCTTTGGAAAAAAAAAGTAACATACCTCTTTTTTTGTATATGGCGTCTACAGCCTTGTGATGCCATCTATCCCTCTCGGTATCTTTATTACAATCTTCCTCCCGTTGTTACAGCATAATCTGTATCTTCTGGTCCCCCTCTCGATTAGGTGTTGTGGGACGATCTCTACAAGATCGGCGTGTTTCCCGGGTTCAGGTTTGCCTAGTGTGGAGGCGGATTGAGCTTCAGGTCCTGTTTTAGTATCGGGTACGCTCTTGTTCTTTGGTGGGGTTGGTGGTGTCCCGAAAAGTTCGTGGAACCTCTTTATGATCCTCTCCGCGTCTTTCCCTGGTGTCACGTGCAGTTCGGATCTCTCTGGCGTTCCCAGAGGGGTCATCTCTTCCGGTATTTCTAATATCTCTTCCATGTTTGATGTGAATGAACTGAATTTTGCTTGCTAGCATTGCTCTTTAAATACCGTTTGGTTGTGGTGGGGATTCGATTTCTGTAATAACATTTGCCCCCACCCATGGTTTTAAATCTTTTACATGCGCCGTCATCTGCTTGCGGCTACTACTATCGGCCAATTTCAGTTTTACTATTACTGGTGATATCGCTGACGTTACTATGTATGGCCCTGAGTACTTGGGCGCTAGTTTGCTGGTGAAAGCTGCACTAGCCGATGATAGATAGTGTTCCTTTTTTATGACTTGATCTCCTAAATGTGGCCGCCAGTCTCTTCGTCTTAGATCGTAATGTTTCTTTTGGTTCTCGAAAGCGTGTTCTAACTTGTTTAAGTTTTCTGAATACCCCTGTATATCTTGTCCGTTTGTCGCCTCTGTTGTGTCTAATTCTCTTCCAAAATTAAGAAGCGCTGGTGAAAATCCTGTTGAATCGTGTCTTGACGAATTTATGTTTATGTTACGGTTTATATTGGAGGCACTTCGTACAGGCTCTAACGTAGTCTACAATTTGTTTAAACATCTTAGGCCAATAGTACTTTTGCGCCATTCGGCAAATTGTTTTTGCAATTCCTAAATGGCCTGCTGTGGTCGAGTCATAATTTTCCTCCAAAATATTTATATCTTGGTACGCATAATTTCCATGGGTTATTAAACTCTGGGTCGGCTAAATTACGGCTGCTCCAAATGTGTTTATATAACTTCCCGTTTGATATTTGTAAATCCGAGAAATCGTCTGGTTGCAACTCTGGTTCTTCGCTCTGGTTTTCTTGTGGTTGTCGTGAAAAAGCATCTTGTCCAATATCAAATCTTCAGAATTCATATCCGAAATTGGACAGTATAATTTTATCACCCAGTAGACCGAATGAATTTATTTGTTATTAAATACACACACGTAGTTAATTAGGTTACATACGGATTTGGTCAATTATCAACAATATAATTTGGACATCAGTCAAAAGTGCTGACAAAGTTAAACAATTTACATAAATTAGAAACACATATCACGCGAGGCCCGCGAATATATTGACCCAATTAAAACTTACATAAAACTAATATCTCTTGCCTAGAGAAGCATTCAATCAATATTCACTCAACAAACTTGATAGTCTTCAGCGATCAACTGCAACAGTCTCTACTCAAAGTAATCCCGGGTCAACACCCATAGTGTACGTCTCATCAATAAACTCTGCTACTATTATTTGGTGTTTCCATTACAACTGAACGAACATCTCCACTGAGCCAACGAAGGAGAATTGTTCATGGTCCTATCGAGAAACAGAATACTTCAAGGAAGTTTGAGAGAGCCTATACAGTCCACGCCAGCAACACCCTCAGTAGCAGAGAGAGACCACTAGACCCGGGAGAACGAGAGCAGTACCAAAGCCGAAAGCCATACTAGAGCTGAGAGCAGTACCAAAGCCGAGAGCCATACTAGAGCCGAGAGCAGTACCAAAGCCGAGAGCCATACTAGAGCCGAGAGCAGTACCAAAGCCGAGAGCCATGCTAGAGCCGAGAGCAGTACCAAAGCCGAGAGCCATACTAGAGCCGAGAGCAGTACCAAAGCCGAGAGCCATACTAGAGCCGAGAGCAGTACCAAAGCCGAGAGCCATACTAGAGCCGCAGAGCAGCCAAAGGACAGGACCGATTGCAGAACCCACCAGAAGCGAGGGATCCTCAACGTCTAAGAACACAAAAAACCGTAAGTTTTTGAATAATTACAAAATCTTCCAACTTTTACTATCTTACAATTTAACAAGTTTTTTTATTACAATTTAACAATTTAGAACAACAATCTCCACTCTATCAATCGTATAATGATGTACTTTAGAATGTATACCATTTAAATAATACAGAGAATTGATAAAACAAAAATAAACGTCATTTCAATTAAATACTTTATTTCGAAAAATTAAAATAATTACGTAGCAAATAATTTCATTTATTTTTATATTATTTTATATTTATATATATTTATATTTACAAATTTATATATTTTATATATATATATATATATATATATATATATATATATATATATACATATAAGTATAACAGTGTGTGGATTACATCCCGACCTACCTTAGTACAAAGAAAAATACAGCAGGCAGGGTCAAACTCATATTCCGCTAAATTGCACATTCCAATAGAAAAGAAAGTGTAATAGTATGGTTATATTTAATAAATAACGTAAGTTAGGTACATTTCGTATTGTCTAATATATTTATCGCTGAAGGTAAGAATTTATAAAAATAATCATGGAAAGTGTATACGCTAAGCAAGCGGAGATAGGAGCAGAAATAGCGAAACTCGTTTCAAATACTAAAAAGAATTCCCAATCCCGGAAAAATCAACAATACATCCGGGATAGACAGGAAAAATCAACAATACATCCGGGATAGACAGGAAAAATTAAAAGAATATTGGGCAAAATTTTTGAATAACCACGAAAAGCTGCTAGAAGGGGGTATAACGAAAGAAAAATATTTTGAAACAAAATACTACGGTCAGGTATTTAAGACCTACATTGAGGGGTAAACCCTGTTGGAAGAATATGGAAGGGTGATGAAAAGAGGAAAATCACCGAAAATAAAGGAGATACAGATAAGAAAACAAAGAATCGAGGAATTATTACGGCCAGAAAATGAACAAGACTTGCAGGAGGATGAAGAATTGCAGTCAGAGTTAAGAGAATACATGGAAAAGGTGAATACACTAATGATTGAAGCAGCAGTAAATGAGGAACTAGACGCTACAGATAATGGAGAAGTAGAGAGAATAAATCATCTAAAGAGGAAAGTCAGGGAAGCTTTGAAGAAAATAAGGCCAGGAATGCAACGGCCAGAAAGCACACAGAGGAGGGACGGTGTGACATTACCGCAGGTAAAAATCCCTGTGTATGAAGGCAGATATGAAACGTGGAGAACTTTCCACGATCTGTTTACTAAAGTAATACATGAAAACGACCAGTTATCAAACGCAGAAAAAATGCAGTACCTAAAAACTCAAATAAGAGGGGAAACCAACAGAATGATACAACACTTAAACATATCCGAGGCCAACTACGAAGTGGCCTGGAACATGCTAAAAGATAGGTATGAGAACCTAATGATGATATTGTTTAAATTAATAGACAGGATGCTACTAGCGCAGGAAGTAAAGGAATCTTCTGCTAGAGCATTGAAATCACTACATGACACCTTCCACGAAAGTCTGGAAGCCATAGGAGGGTTAGGAACAGACGCGGAAGCATGGAGCCCATTGATAGCCAGAATTATCATAACGAAATGGGACAATGAAACTAGGAGGCTGTACGAAAACCTCATTGGAGACAGTAGAGAGATACCAACGTACAAATCGACACAAACATTCTTACAGCAAAGATTTCAGACACTGGAACTGCTGGAGTCAGAAAAAAGATAAGAAAAGCAAGGAGGATCTGGTAGGAAACCAAGAACACGCTGCGTGATATGCAACGGAGATCACGGAGTACCGAACCTCAGAGAATTTCAGGAACTCAATGTAAGAGACCGGAACAGGATGATAAAAGAAAAATGATTGTGTACAAACTGCCTAGCACATAAAAAAGAAAAACAATGTTATTCACAATATAGGTGCAGACACTGTGTGGGAGACCACCACCTTATGTTGCATTATGAAAAAGGAAACACAAGCAACAAAAGAAACTCCAATGAAACGAAAGGAGAACAAACACAAGAAAGAAATGGAAGAGATTCGAACAATAGAAGAAACGGGTACCAAGCTGATAGGTACAGAGGAGGAAACAATAATCCATACAACGCCAGAGAACAAAATAACGGAAGGCGAGAAAATACACAAGATACCAATGGGCATAGGAATAGCAACGACCAACAAAGAGGGCAGAATTCAGTAAACTGTGCAAGCCATAAGGAAGGTGAAGCATTACTAGCGACCGCTGTGGTACACATAAGAGATGCGAAAGGAGATTCACACATAATGAGAGCACTAATCGACCAAGGGTCACAATGCGCATTTATAACGGAACAAGCTGCGACGACGCTAGGAACAACAAGAAAGCCCTTACAGGCGACCATATCCGGGATAGGCTCGTCAGGAGAAAAAACAGCCAACTGGAGTATGAAACTTTTAATTGAAACTCATTACGAAAGTGACTTCGAGGTGGAAATAGAAGCACTAGTACTACCGAAGATAACAAGGAATTTACCGGAAAAGGATATAATTCTACCGGACTATAACGAGAAAAATGCAATACTGGCAGATCCAAGATATTACAAGGTAGGGAAAATAGACTTACTACTAGGAGTAAAAGAATACAGTTACATATTGACAGAAGGGATGCACAGAATAAGTAATGGACTCCTGAGTCAAAACACCAAACTAGGATGGATAGTTTCGGGAATTGCACTAGAAAGGGAGAATATAAAAGCAGAAGTATGTTGTATGATATCAAGACAAGAAATGCTCATACAAATAAAGAACTTCTGGGAATTAGAAGAAGTAAATCAGGACACAAGTTTCTCAGTGAAAGAACAAGAATGTGATGAATTGTATCGACAGACTGTAAAAAGGAATAAAGAAGGGAGATACGAAGTAAAAATTCCGTTTAGGGAAGACGTTGCAAAGTTAAGAGAATCTAAACAGCAAGCATTCGCCAGATTGATGCAACTAGAAAGGAAGTTTGCAAAAGACAAACAGTTAGAAGCAAATTACAGACAATTCATGGAAGATTGGGCGATAACCCAAGGTCATATGGTAATAGCAGAAAACCAGGGAGATGGGTACTACTTACCTCATCATCCAGTGAAAAAAGAGGACAGTACTACAACGAAAATAAGAGCCGTGTTTGATGCATCAAGCAAAAGCTCATCGGCGGTAAGCCTGAATGATATTATGCACACAGGGCCGAAATTACAACAAGATTTGACAAATGTACTATTACGATGGAGATCCAATAAGATAGCATACTCAGCGGATCTGGAAAAAATGTTTAGACAAATCAGAATGTCAGAAGAAGACCAAAAATATCAAAACATTTTGTGGATAAAGGACACAAAGGACCCCATACAAGAGTATAACTTAACGACGGTGACATACGGCACGGCCGCAGCACCCTTTTTAGCGTTAAGAACAATACAACAATTACAAGAAGACGAAGGAGCGAGGTTCCCGTTGGCATCGAAAATTGTAAAAGAAAACATGTATGTAGACGATATACTAGGAGGAGCTGAGAAAGTGCAGGAAGCAGAAACAGTCCAAAAGGAATTAACACAACTGTTCAGAAAAGGAGGTTTCATTCTTAGAAAAAGGTTGAGCAACGAAGAAAAAATAATGGAAAACGTACCGGAGGATATGAGGAACGTAGACTCCAAGGCATTCAAACAAGAAGAAGTACGGAAAACGTTAGAAATACACTGGTCCCCTAAAGAGGATATAATCACATTCAAAATAGGGATAACGACGGCAAAGAAAATAACGAAAAGACACGTACTGTCAGAAGTAGCAAAACTATACGACCCACTGGGATGGATAGCACCTGTAGTAATCCAGGCGAAAATGTTCATACAGGAATTATGGGAACAAAAGACCAGCTGGGATAAAGAATTAACTAGCAACCAACAAAGCAGGTGGAATACATACCAGGCGCAATTAGTAAATCTGGAGAAAATAACATTGCCCAGGTGGAACAACTTAAGCAAGATAAACAGAGTAGAACTACATGGATTTGCAGATGCGTCTATGAAAGGATATGAAGCGGTAATCTATTCAAGGGTATTAGGCCCAGAAATCAAAACAAATCTAATGATAGCAAAATCGAAAGTCGCACCATTGAAAGGGAAAACGACGTTACCGAGGCTCGAGCTGTGTGCCGCGGTACTACTAGCAAATTTAATGAAGAAAACCCTACAAGCATTGAACAGGGAAAACATTGAGGTATATGCATGGTCGGACTCAACGATAACCCTGGCTTGGATAAGGGGATCACCAAAAAGGTGGAAAATGTTCGTCGCTAACAAAGTAGAGGAAATAAGAGGCGTTATAGGACCGAAAATTGGCATAAGGTAGATACAAAGGAAAATCCAGCGGACATCCTCTCACGTGGAAGTACCGCATCAGAATTATTAGAAGCGGAGCTATGGTGGAAGGGACCAACTTGGCTGACTAGTAACAAAACTTTAACGCAGGAATCAGAAGAAATACCAGAGACAAATGAGGAGGAAGTCAAAACGAAAATAACGGTGCACACGACAACGATAAAGGAGGACATATGCGAGAGATTCTCAAATTTAGAAAGAATGAGAAGAGTACTTTCATACTGTAGGAGATTTGCAGACAGATGCAGAAAAAAGAAGGACAATGAACAAAGTCAACTTACAGTCCAAGAATTAGAGGAAACGCTATTAAAGGTGATAAGGCACAACACAGCACGCCTACTTCAAACAAGAAATAAATAAGCTGGAGTAGAAACAGCAATTAGACAAGAAAAATAAATTAGCGTCATTGGTACCATTCCTGGATAGGAATGGAAGGAATTCTAAGAGTCACCGGAAGACTGAGACACACGGATCTAAAGTACGGAGAAAAACATCCGATAATTTTGCCAAAGGATAGTGCATTAACAAAGTTACTTATAGCAGATAGTCACGCAATAAATCTACATAGCGGATTACAACAAACACTACAGTACATAAAAAGGAATTACTGGATAATCAACGGCAGAAGAACCGTAAAAGATCATCTAACAAAATGTTTAAAGTGCAGGAGGTATAAAAGCCAAGCAGCACAACAATTAATGGGAGATCTACCGAAAGACAGAGTGAACCCGAGTCATCCATTTACTAACACAGAGATAGATTATGCCGGGCCAATAAAAATAAGTACCACGAGAGGCAGAGGACAGAGGAGCTACAAGAGCTACATCTCAGTATTTGTGTGTCTGTCAACGAAGGCAGTACACCTTAAGGTAGTAAGCGATATGTCTACGGATGCATTCATCGCGGCGTTCAAGAGATTTACGGCACGCAGAGGACAGTGCAACAACGTATACAGCGATAACGGAACCACATTCGTAGGAACAGCAAACTTGTTGAAAAAAGAAAATCAAAAAATAGATGACGAGATAAAACATGGATTACTGGCACTAGGAACCCAGTGGCATGTCATACCTGCATATGCACCACACTTCGGAGGATTATGGGAGAGCGCAGTGCGAATAATGAAATATCACTTGAAAAGAATCATCGGGGAAACAGTTCTAACATATGAAAAATTGAGTACGGTGCTGACACAAATAGAAGCATGTATGAACTCGAGACCATTAGGCGGGTCATCAGAAGACCCTGAAGGATAAATAACCGTGACACCAGCTCACTTCCTTATAGGGAGAGAAATTATATCACCAAATCGGGAAGAAGAGCTTACGACTTATTTGAAGATGCCGACGAGGTGGAGATTATTGGAGAAAATAAAAAGAGACTTTTGGAAAATTTGGAAACAGGAATACCTGCACCAATTACAACAGAGAAATAGATGGCATAAGGCGCACCCTAACATAAAAGAAGAAGAAATAGTTATAATTAAAGAAGAGGATACACCTCCAGGTAGATGGCCATTAGCGAGGGTAACAGAAACACACCCTGGAGCGGAGGGATTAACCAGAGTAGTAACAGTGAGAAAGGCAAACGGGAAACTGACTAAAAGACCCATATATAAGCTAATACGACTGGAAGAAGAGAAACAGGAAAAGCCGAAGAAGGCAGCAGCACTAAGATGGAAGAAAATACTAGTAGCTATAATGTTTTTAACGATGTTAAAACCCATAAAGGCAGAACCGTATAAAATATATAATCCGGTACCAGGATTTTTCACAGATGACCTTGGAGAGGTCGTCATAGACCGGGGAACATAGAGTACTGTAAAAATATTACATTACTCCCCACTAGCAGCGGGGTGGACAGAGCGGTGACGAGTTACCTGAAGTCGCCAATCACTCCCGTGGCCCAACTGGTGGCGAGGACACCCCGCAGGTTTAACACGCCTCTAAACACCTACCTTGACATACCAGGAGGAGAGCTACGTCATGTGTTACTTGAGGAGGAAAGTCTGGAACAAGAAATGACGCATACGCAGTGGCGATCGATTCACGAATCTAATTGGCATTATTTTGTGGCCACCGGGACGATTACTATAATGGTAATAATTGGGATACTCACGTTATGGAAGTACCGTCCTGTTGCACGACTATGTCGTTCAGGGAATCCACAAACTCAGACTAATGAACAGGAAGTACCTGTATTAGTTAGTAATCGGCACAACAATGTACCGTCGACTTCCCAAGCCGACATCCCACTCTCCATATTTTCATCCAATTGCCCTAATTTTAATCTAGAGATAGAGTTAAACATTGATAGCTAGGGTAGCGGTTGGAAGATTATTGATTATTCATAAACTACTTATAATTTATCATGTTTGAATTTTACTATGTTATGTTATACTTATATGTAAACTTTGAGTATTGGCACTTAGGCCAGCCAGATTGCCCGATTCCGCAGTATGTCCAATATCAAATCTTTAGAATTCATATCCGAATTTTCACAGTATAATTTTATCACCCAGTAGACCGAATGAATTTATTTGTTATTAAATACACACACGTAGTTAATTAGCTTACATACGGATTTGGTCAATTATCAACAATATAATTTGGACATCAGTCAAAAGTGCTGACAAAGTTAAACCATTTACATAAATTAGACACACATATCACGCGAGGCCCGCGAATATATTGACCCAATTAAAACTTATATACAAATGTTATTTTGGACTAAGCAAGCAGCTAAAAAACAGAAACTTAAGCCAGAAAACCAAACTAATAATATATCGAACACTCATCCTACCAGTGCTGACATATGGGTCAGAAACATGGACCATCTCCAAAACAGACGCAAATCTTCTGCTCGTCTTCGAAAGGAAGATACTAAGAAGAATAATGGGCGCATTCTGTGAGAATGGTATTTGGAGAAGGCGATATAATTTCGAATTGTACGAGAAATATAAAAAAATAGTAAATGGTAGAGATGTAATATCCTTC